ATTCAGATTCACAGTGACCCTGAGACAGAGTCGAACTGGCCCCTATGGGTTTGGTTTCTAAGACTGTATAACTTTTTATGGGCGTAGAAAGCCTCTTTTTCTCCCTCAGAGCTGCGGGTAGTTTTGAAATGTTGACCTTGCGGTTAGCAGACCAAGACGCAAAAGGCAAACCCAGGCAGGTCTCTGAGGACAAGACTGCCTCCGTGGGCTGGCTAGGGACGGGTAGCCATCTGATTTCAAACATGCTCTGCCCCAGTGAGGGCGCCCTGGTGGCGTACCGGTTATGTGTTGGGCAGCTAACCGCATGGGTCAGCGGTTCGAGATCATCAGCTGCTCTTTGGGATGAAGAGAGGCTGTCTGCTGTTGTAAAGAGTTGGCTTCGTAACCCACAGAGGCAGTTCTGCCCCGTCCTACAGCTAGCTTCATTACGAGGTGGAAGTGTCTCCATGGCAGTGAGTTTGGTTTTTGGTTTTTCTTCTGAGAGCAAAGCTTTTCTGTGTGGTGCCAACTGCCAAGGCAGCAGTTGTTAACCACCAGCCACTCCGCTGGAGAAAGACTTGCTACTTCTGAGAAAAGTCTCAGAAACCCACCGGGGCATGGCCACCCTGCCTTGTACGGTCGCCGGAAGTTGGGATCGACTCCATGGCAGTGAGTGTGTGTGTATTGTATTTGTTTTGGTGGAGCAGTGTGTTTTGAATTGAGCTGCTGACTGCAGTTCACAAGTTTGAAGACACCAGTCACTCTGAGGGAGAGGCTTTCGGCTCCTACAGAGATTTACAGCCTTGGGCAGTTCTACTTTGTCCTGTATGTTTTGCTATAATTGAAAATGACTCAGTGGCCAAGGGTTTTTTCGGGACTGAATTTTTGAAAATGTAGTGCTGAGAATTTGTTTCAATATAAGACCTGAAGGAAATGAGAAAGTGAGGCTGCCCTACAGCAGGGGAAGAGCATTCCCAATAGAGGAAACATCAAGTCCAAAGGCCTAGGAACACGTTTAACATGTTTCAGAAACAGCAAGGGGGCACTGGCAGAAGCGGGACGAGATGAGGGTTGGAAAGGTCATGGAGGCAGGCATTGGTGTGGGTAGATCTTGAGGGATGGTGATTGGCTGACATCTTTGGCACCTATGAACAATCAGTGATACCTGTTTCAGAGCTCAGGAGCTCTGGCAGTGCAGTGATTAGCCTACCTGCTAATCATCTATTCAACAGAAGGTTGGTGGATTGAAACCACCGGCTGTTGTTTGAGAGCATGATGGGCAGGCAACTTCTATAAAGATGATCGCCTGGGAAAGCCAGTGGGACAGACAGTTCTACTCCGTCCTTCACTGTGAGCTGTAATTGACTTGGCAGCAACGAGTTTGGTTTATTTTTTACCATTAGGGAACTTAAAGATTCATTTTGAGGATGGTGAGTCTGAGATTGAAGGTGGGAGCGTTACTTCTCAGAAATACTAGAACTGGTTATTAACACATACATTTAAATCCAGACGCGCATCTCCCTCCGGGTAATTCACAGTAGTTGTCCTGGAACTGTCATCCTCTGTGAAAGGCAGAAAGAGTGTCGGCTCGTTCACTTGCCATTCACTTGGTGGTGGTGGTGGGAAGGAACAGGAAACAATACTAAAGTAACATGAAACAGACTACTTTTTTAAAAAACATTTATATTAAAACAGTTACTATTTTTAAATCGGTATACTTGAAGGAAAGCCTCTGTGGAGATAAGCAGTGTGGAGAAGTGAAGTTGTGTAATGAAGTATAATGGGTTGTCGCCATCCTGAGTTACATTGTGTCTTCTGGCTGGAGCTGGGTGGGAGTGTCTGAATTCAGTTCATCTTGGTTACCTTTTTTCACCGGATTTCCCCCCCCAAGGTTTTATGCTTTTTATGTGTTAACAGTTTTAAGTGCTGTGTTGTTGACTAAGTGGAGACCTACAACTAGGTATTTTTATGTAATGTAGTTGATCAGAATGTGGAAAACCTGGTAGAGTTGGCTTTAAAATTCCTGAGCTCATTTTGGGAATTGTGACTTTTAAAAAAACGACAACACTGTCTTTGTGTTGTTTTTTTCCCTCCTGGTTTGCCTTTTGTATTCTACTCCATTATAAATGCTTCCAGGAGCCTGGGTGGCATAGTGGTTGCATGGTGCACTGTAGTCGTGAGGTCAGCAGTTGGAAACCACCAGCCGCTCCTCAGGAGAAAACGAGGCCTTCGCCTCCCGCAATGAGCTCCTCTCAAACTCACGGGCACTTCTGCTCTTTCCTACGGAATTGCTGTAAGTTGACATCAACTCAGTGGCAGTGAGGTCCTCTGTCCCCGTCCCTGTCCCCTCTCCCCCCGCCACACATATTTTATAAGTGCTTATGTGAATTAGTGTTTGTGGCTATGGTAAGCTGAGACTTTTAAAATACCATAGGAAAACCTGACTTCAGTGTGACCCACCCAACCCACTGCCCATGAGTGGGTTTTCGAGCCTAAATCTGTAATGGGAGTAGACAGCCCCTATCGTCCTCCCTGGCAGCGCGATGCCTAATTCACAGTGTTTGCAGGACTCCAGAAGTTAAAGAAGCTCGGGGATGAGCCTGCTGTCTGAAGGGTGGGGGCTGGTGTCTCGCTGGAGCCTGCCGCCACTTACTCTGACAAAGTCCTTGAACACGCAGTGTGATCCAGCCAGTCATCTCTAAGCAGCCACCTCCTGTTCACAGAGATAGCCGCAGGCAGCCCCCTGTACTCTGGGGGGAGTGGGCGGAGGTTCAAGCCGGAAGTGGGGAGTTGCGTGGTTTTTGGCAAACGCTGTGACTTTGGGTCAACGTTGGTGTGTCATTGTGATCACTGTGCAGGTCCTACACAGCCTGCCCTTTTTTGGGTCCTATTTAACCCACACATTTCCCAACGTGTAGCATAGGCTCGTTATTTTTAAAGACTATGTGTCAAGTTTATATGCCAAAGTTCTGTATTTTCTGTTTTTATAAGAATTGTTTTCCCAGGGTAAATTCTCACAGTGGGATTACTCTCTTCAATAATTTGGCTTACGTAGAAGTCATCCTTATTTAATTGAACCAAGGGGTTTTCTAGTTCACACAGCTGCCAGTAATGTGCTTGCTGTTACATTTAGTTTTGTGATTAATAGGACTTAACGGAATCTTTATTTATTGTAACTTATTAAATGGGAAAACTTTTGTTAGTAGGTATGTTTTTAAGTTACAGTGCCTATTTTTTACTAGGAGAAAGATTGCTAATAAGTTTTCAGTTTAAATCGGCTGCTGGCCTAATTGTTTATGTATGAGGTCAGATGGATTGTAGCTTAACAACCAGTCCTTTCTACTTACACAAGGTTGGGGGAAGTTAATGCTTTAGACTCCAGACTCACTCCCATCAAATCCATGCGGATGCCTCCTGAACCCCTGTGGATTCGCAAGACTTTAACTGTTTACAGGAGTAGAAAGCCCAGTCTTTCAAGGAGCTGCTGGTGGTTTCGAACTGGTGACTATGAGAATCCCAGCCCAATATATATCCACCAGGGTGCCTCTTTTATGCTTTATTTTATTTATTTTGTTTTTGTTTTTTATTTTTTTTTAAACATTTTATTAGGGGCTCATACAACTCTTATCACAATCCATACACACATCAATTGTGTAAAGCGCATTTGTAACTTCATTCTCAAAACATTTTCTCTCCACTTAAACCCCCGATATTAGGTCCTCATTTTTCCCCTCCCTCCCCGCTCCCCCCTCCCTCATGAGCCCTTGATAGTTTATAAATTGTTATTTTGTCATATCTTGCCCTGTCCGACGTCACCCCTCACCCACTTTTCTGTTGTCCGTCCCCCAGGGAGGAGGTCACATATAGTCCCTTGTAATCGGTTCCCTCCTTCCTACCCACTCTCCCTCCACCCTCCCTGTTTCGCCACTAACACCACTGGTCCTGTAGGGATCATCCGCCCTGGACTCCCTGTATTCTCAGCTCCCATCTGTACCAGTGTACCTCCTCTGGTCCAGCCAGACTTGCAAGGTCGAATTCTAGTCATGGTAGTGGGAGCAGGGAGGAAACATTTAGGAACTAGAGAAACGTCGTATTTCTCGTCATTGTTACATCGCACCCTGACTGGCTCATCTCCTCCCCGAGACCCCTCTGCAAGGGGATCTCCAGTGGCCTACTAATGGGCTTTGGTTCTCCACTCTGCACTCCCCCCATCATTCACTATGGTAAGATTTTTTGTTCTGTTGCTGCCTTATACCTGATCCTTTCGACACCTCGTGGTTGCATAGGCTGGTGTGCTTCTTCCATGTGGGCTTTGTTGCTTCTGAGCTTGATGGCCGCTTGATTACCTTCAAGCCTTTAAGACCCCAGACACAATACTTTTTGATAGCCGGGCACCATCAGCTTTCTTCACTCTTTTATGCTTTAAAGTAGGCATTTAATTTGATGAAATTTTAAATTTAAAAATAGACTTTTTGGTGGCACCAATGCTCATATATACAGATGGTATAAAAGTTAGATTTTTCCCAAAGCCCCTTCAGAAGCACCGTGTTTTTATATATTGCCTTCCAACACGCAACTGCACATCAACCAGTGATAATGTACAACGTCCCCAACTTTTCACAGGGTTAAATTTCGACAGGAAGACTGATTCGTAGTACATAGAGTCTGACTCATACGATTACAAGTATACCAGTACTTCGTAAACATGATGCAAGTAAAAGCTAATAGGAAAAGATTTCCCTTGAACTTGTAAGTCGTTTGACTGTACTCCTGATCCCCAAGGAATCTTTCCGTCACCGCCTGCAGGAGGAGGGGCGGCCTCCCCCGGGCAGACTCCAGAAGCTTCACACCCTCGGCAGAAGCTTTGTGCTGTCAGAAAAGCCAGCCTGGGTTTTGGGAAGATAAAGGCATCGAGGGAAAGGATTTGTTTACCAAGTCCTTGCGGAGAGAGGACTAGAAAGCGAGTCAGCGGTACAGGCGATATCTCTTGGTAACTGTCTTGTCTCCCTCTTTACTTCCAGATGTTTCTTACCGTGTACCTCAGTAACAACGAGCAGCACTTCACGGAGGTCCCCGTCACTCCCGAGACAGTGTGCAGAGACGTGGTGGATCTGTGCAAGGAACCCGGCGAGAGCGAATGCCACTTGGCTGAAGTTTGGGGTGGCGCTGGTACGAGACCCACCCAGGCTGGGGCTTGAGCTCCTGTCATTTTTGGTTTGTGGAGGGGCACTGTGTGTGAATGTTCATGCGTAGCCCCAGAGAAGCTGTGGAGTAAAGAGCATGACCCCAGGAGGGAGTGTTCTCAGCCCTGCTGGGCTGTGATAGAAGAGCCTGCTGGCTGCTCTGGTTTTCTACCATCCGAGGACAGACAGTCTCTTGATAGCGGTCCAAAGAATTGAGACAAAGTCTTGCCATTCTCAATTTTAAGGAACATTTGTGACTGCCCTCAAAGAGAGACAACCCCCGCCCTTGGCCTCCGGCAGCCCATAGGTTGTATGTTTAGGCTTTACTTAATTAGAAATGTGGGGCATCCTAATGGTTTTTCTCTTTCTTTAAATTTTTGTACACTTTTGGGAGAAAGGTCGTGTTTGAAGAACTGTGGTAGCAAAGGCAGTGGGGTGCTCTAGATGCGATTTTAAGCTTTGAATCATGCCCTCAGTAAAGTTCTAAAATGAGACCGCCCGCTTTCTTTTTGACCCTGCAGGGGTTTGGCGATGTGGGTGTGATTTTTCATTCTTTCTGCCTTGTTCCGACGCCGAGTGCACCCCACTGCCTCCTTTTCTCCTCCTTTGCTCCAGCTGCCTGCGGAGCAAGCTGCCCGCTGTGCTCATTAGACTCCCACCATTCCTGTGCTCTCACTTCTTACCAGGGCAGCCTCGTATTCATCTTTGCTTGACTTTCCCAAGGTTGGATGTTCTGGGAGGTGCACTGTACTTCCCCCCCACGTGACTGATCCCTTCCTTTAGGTGTCATGGTGGCTCTGGGATAAGCCTTGGGCTGCTAGTATTGGGGTTGGGAGTCAAACCCACCAGCTGCTCGCTCCATAGGAGAAAGACGAGGCGGTCTAGTCTTGGAAACACTTGGCTGCTGAGAGTTGGAATTGCTTGATGGGAATGGGTTTGCTGTGACATAATCCTAGATACAGAAGCCCTGGAGGTGCGTTGGGCTGGGCACTGCCCTACTAACCCCAAGGTCAGAGGTGAGGACCCACCAGTCACTCCGTAGGAGGAAGTGGAGGCTAGGCTGTCTGCTTCCGAAAAGATTTGAGTCTTGGAAATCCTATCTTGAGGCTGAGTCCGATCCCACTCCAGGGCAGGGGGTTTCCCAGAGGGTTTTGATAAAGAAGATCATTTACATAAAGAAGATCATGTCCTTTAAACAATGAAAGTGGCAGCATTTTACTTTCTAGTTTAAAACTTCCCTGATAATGACTTTCTCTCCACTTAGAACAAAATCCACACTCTTTATCATAGGTGGTGAAGATTCGTTGTCTATAATATTATTTTCTGCCTTGCCTCGATCCTGCATCTTTCTTTCAGGATCTTGAATATGCTAAACTCTCTCCTGTCTTAAGAGCTGCTGGCACTGTTTCTACTGCCTGTATTGCTCTCCTTGCAGATTTGTCTCATTACCATTTCCCTTTTAAGGAGTCCTGGTGGTGCTGCAGGTGAAGCTGGGCTGCTAACTTCAAGGTCATTAGTGGGTTCGGTATTTTTGGTAACTTGGATTTCTGCTAAAACGTTAGCAACTTGGAAAGGTATTGCCTCAGGACCCTTCCAAAATCACCATGAAGCTTTGTAGTATATCATCCTCATTTAACTCCCTGCATATGTGGTTGTATTTATTGCATCTTTCATCCCCCTGGCCCCAAACACACACATTAGAGTGTAAGCTCTCAGAGCAGCCCAAACCAGTTGCTATCAGATTGGCTCTGTCCCGTGGTGAGTCCAAGGGTGGGACAGAACTGTGTGTCTATGGTTGTCAGTGGACGGTTTTTCGGGAAGTGGATTCATCAGGTCTTTTTTCCCTAACCTCCTGTCTTTCAGATAGCAGGTAAACGTTTTAAATGTTTGTACCACCCAGGGACTCTGCCACAGTGTAGCGACCTTGGCTATTCTTGTTCAGTGTTGTCCCCCCTACTCAAGGAAAGTGACCAAGTACCCAGTAGATGCTCAGAGAATATTTGCTGAATGAATAGATCAGTAGCCTCTTAGCAGGCCGCAAAGTGCCTTGTGTTTTGGAGAGTCAGCATTGGCTTGGCAGCCCTGGGGCTGGTTGTGGCCTACTTCACCGAAGCCACCGCCATCATTCATGGGAGCTTCCCCAGGTGCCGCCTCTGGACCTCAGGGTTTCTGAGTCTCTGCCTACCCCTTCTTCTGACTTTCTCACAGGAAGATGTACCCTTTCTCTTTGCCAAGGCTTCCTCTTCTTTTAAAAAAAAACAAACCACTTTATTGGGGGCTCCTACAACTCTTATCACAGTCCGTCCATCCATCCATCCACATGTCAAGCACATTTGTTGCCATCATCATTCTCAAAACATTTGCTTTCTACTTGAGCCTTTGGTATCAGCTTCTCATTTTTTTCCCCTCCCTCACAAACCCTCGATAATTTATAAATTATTATTATTTTGTCATGTCTTATACTGTCCGACGTCTCCCTTAACCCACTTTTTTGTTGTCTGTCCCCCAGGGTGGAGGTTATATGTAGATCCCTGTAATCGGTTCCCCCTTTCTACCCACACCTTCTCTCCACCCTCCTGGTATCACCACTCTCACCACTGGTCCTGTAGGGATCATCTGCCCTGGATTCCCTGTGTTTCCAGTTCCCATCTGTACCAGTGTACATCCTCTGGTTCAGCCAGATTTGTAAGGTAGAATTGGGATCATGATAGTGGGGATTAGGATGCATTAAAGAACTAGAGGAAAGTTGTTTCATCGTGGCTACACTGCACCCTGACTAGCTTATCTGCTCCCGCGACCCTTCTGTGGCTTCCTGTCTTAAATAGACAGTCAGTCAGTACCAAAAAGAATGGGTTGAAGTCCAACCATTTCAAGAAGGATAGCATATGATTAAGAATTGATGATGTTCACCTATTTTACAATATAAAATTTGTTTAAAAAATACATTCTTGAAAATTTCCAGAAATAAAAGCAATCTTGGGGAAAAAAAGATGGTATTGAAGGAAGAAGTTCAACCTGCGCTGAAGGCATTGGCCACAAGGAGGTTGTGGAAATGGACGGAATACTGATAGATTTCAACAAATGATTGTACCTCTGAAAACACTCCCTCATCTATGCCGAGGAATTTGAAAGACAGATACTTGACTCAATGACTGGAAGAGTCCCATATTGGTGCCCACTTTAAAGGAAATGTCATTTATATGTATATAAGGAACTTTTGCTGAAGATAATTTAAAATGACTGCAACAGTACATGGACAGAGCTGCCACATTCAAGCTGGCTTCAGAAGAGGAAATGGACCGGAGGAGATCAGTGCTGATGTCAGATGGATCTTGGCTGAAGGTGGAAAATGCCACACAGAGGTTTACTTGTGGTTTTGACTATGCAGAGGTGTTTGACTGAGTGGATCACAGCGAGAAGAATGGGAATCCACCTGATTGTGGATGCCTGTTCATGAACCCACAGTCTCTCATTGGGACAGAACAGGAGGATACTGAATTGTTTAAAGTTCGGAAACGATGTGTACATCCTTTCATCATACTTATTCAGTCTGTATGTTGAGCAAATAATCCGAGACGCTATCCGAAGAAGAATCACACAGAACAGCATCAGGATTGGGGGAAGGTTCACTAACAACCTTCAGTGTGTTTGCTGAAAGTAAAGAGAACGTGAAGTGCTTGCTGATGAAGATCAAAGACTGCAGTGTTAATGTAAAGAAAACAGTCATCTTCACCGCTGGACTAATGGCCAGTGCCGTGATACAGAGACCATACTGAAGCCGTCTTACATTTCATTGTACTTGGCTCCGCCATCATCACTTATTGGAAGCAGAGGTCAGGAAACCAAACAGCGCAGTGCACTGGGCAAGCCTGCCAACGCAGCTTAAAAACCAGTGTGACAGTCAGAATTCTCGGGGGAGCTTCTTTTGATCATGTGCCGCCGTCAGTCAGTTATCTAGGCTAGATACCAAGAAGTGGAACTGCCTAGTTTCGGCTCACACATTAAAAAATGTAATCTATGCGGCAAAGGTTCGATCAGTTCTCACGCCAGTTACTTCTGCAAGTATCTCTCATCAACTGACTAGCCAAAAAGTGTTTTGTTTAAATTTGCATGTCATGTCTATTTACAAATGAGGTGGCCTTCTTTTCTTCTTCCTTGGCTATTTGGATAAATTGTTCCTTTATACCCTTTGCTCATCTTTCCCTTTGCCTTTCCCCCCTTTGTTTTGTATGTATTAAGCCGCAACAACTCTATTGGGACGCTCACTGCTATTTGTGCCTTGTTTAAGAAATCCTTCATTCTAATGCTATGGATGTATCATTTCATAAGTCTTAAAGTTTCTCCTTTTTCCTTCCCCCGCTCTTAGGTCTGTAATCGACTTGGAATTTAATTTACAACTAGCATGAATTAGGGACGTAATTTCCCGTCAGATGCTCCCTGAATTTTCGTCAGTGCCTTCTTGACCAATCTGTCTGACTTACAGTGTCTACATGAGTTTTTCATTACTTAAAACATTTGCACGATAATTTAAGCATACCTATCACCCCCTTTTCATTTTCCTTGTGCCCTTTTTAATCTGCTGTTAAGGACTGGTTGGAGCCCTGGTGGGGTGGTGGTTATGCATTGGGCTGCTGTCAACTCAGCGGTTCGAAACCACCCGCGGCTACGCAGGAGAAAGATGGGGCTTTTTCTTCCCGCAAAGCGATCCTGTCTGGGACCGCCCAGGAGCAGTGCTGCCCGATGATGGCAGTGCGAAGGGCTAGCGAGTAGTTTTCATTCTAACCTCCTTTCCTTCATGGCCTCACTTTTTGCCTTCAGCCCGAACTGCCTCCCACCATTCTCCAAACACCTGGCCCTTTCCCATTTCCGGGTGGTTGCACTTGGCGCTCTCTGTTGGAATGTTCTTTCAGTAGGGAACCTCGGGGATCTTTCTCACACTGACTTTATTGAAAGGTCACTTTCTGCTTAGGGCCTTCTCTGGCTGCTGTTAAGTTGGCAAGACTTGCTTCTGTCATTTCCTGTTTCCCTTCGCTGTCCTGTATTTCTCATAGCATTTACCGCCAGTGAATACACCATGTACACTTTTTAATATTTATCTCATTTATGTCTTTCCCAAAGGGAAACATTTTTTTTGGGTCTGTTTTGTTTAGTGCTGTATCTCCAGTGCTTGCTCAATATTTGTGGGAAATTTTCATTGCTTAGCTTTAATCCACCACATTCCTTTTCCGTTCTCTCTTTTTGGAACCATTATTTGATATTGGTTGGATCTTATTTTTTTGTTTTGCACATATGTTAACCAGGATTTATGTTTCAATTATCTTTATTGCTTTCACATCATTTTAGTCGATTCCAATGATCTTCTACATTACTAGTTTCCTCTTCAACTCTAATTTACTATTTATTTTGCTGTTTGCATTTTTTCATTTTAATGACTTCTTTCAATCTTTAAAAGATTTTAGGGGCTCACCAAAATTTGCCTCTTCTTGCTTTATAGCATTTTGCTTATTCATTTTGTTTCTACTCTATTTTCTCAATTATTTATCTTTTTCTGGGACTGCTGCAGTTCGAGAGCCCTTGGGTCGTTTTAACCTTTGCAAGCCCACGCCTGACCGTTTGTCGTCACAGGGCCGTTATGACCGATCTTAGTCAGCTGGTGCTGCTGTCACGAAAACGACTACCAGCCATCTTAAAGAACAGGCGCTTCCGGCCTCATGGTTTGGAGGCCGGAAGTGAAAAGCAGGGCATCAGCGGAGGAAGGCCCTTTGTTGGGTAACCGCGAGAGTTTGTGGGTGTCCCCTTTGCCTCTGTGTGTGTGTCTAGTTCGCCTTTTCTTATCAGACGTGGACTTCTTACAAGTGATTGGGTTTAGGGCTTGCCCTACTTTGGTGACATAACAGAAACAAGCCTTTACATTTATAGGGACAAGCGCTGGCACTTCACGTTTTGCGGGACGCCAGCAGTTTCATCCCGAGCCGCTAGAGCAGTGGTTCTCAACCTGAGGGTCGCGACCCCTTGGGGGGGGGTGTCGAACGGCCCTTTCACAGGGGTCCCCCGAGTCATAACAGTAGCAAGATGACAGCGATGAAGTAGCAATGAAAATAATTTTGTGGTTGGGGGGCACCCCAACCTGAGGAACTGTATCAAGGAAGGTTGAGAACCACTGCTCTGGAACTTATAAACAGGCCCGTCCTAGTGCAGGGCAGTGTAATGTGAACTGGGGGTTACTTCTGTTCCCTTGAAGTCTCTGGGGACTGAGGGATTTCTCCTTTTCACTTTCATTGGGAGAGAGGGTCTGCTTAGAATTTCCGTTGCCGATTGTGTATTTGGCAGCGCTTCCTCTTGTGGAGTTTTTGTTGGGATGTCTGTAGTTTATAGACGGGGGCTACTTATTTCAACTCACTGTGCTCTGATACAGGAAATAGGCCGCACTTTGTTGCAGCCAAGCCGATTCATTTCAGTTAGTTCACAAAATTGGCTGCAGAATGCCTGGCTGGTCTGTCTCTGCCCACATTGTTTATTTAAAGAGCTCAGGTAGTGTTTTTGATCCCTGATAAGTGAATTGAGTCATTTTAGACTCTCCTACTTTCTTATATTTAATTTACATTAACGTGACCAGAATTTCTTAGATTTTGCCACTTGCATTCTCAAGCAGTACGTTTGGTTTCACATCCTGATCCCTTGAAATTGGAAGAGGAGACACTGAGATACAGTGTCCTCCTGAACTCTCCACTTAGTATACTCTCCTTTTTGTCTACAGGAAAGTTCAGACAACTAGCCACCCCATTGTAAGAGAAGCCTAATAGTTACATTTGCATTTGTAATAAAAAGATTTTCTGGGAGGGGGGCGGGGTGGGAATGGGTTGCTGATTTTTTCAAATAGTTTGATTGGGAAATTATTAAATGAGAGATAGAGTCTCTTAAAAAGTAAGGGAGTCCTAGTGGCATACCTTCTAAGCAGCCACTCAGCTGCCAGCAGCACGGTCAGCAGTTCCCACCCCGCAGTGAGACGTCTGTGCCATCCGCGGCGCACAGATCACAGCCTGGGGACCCGGGGAGGGGGGCAGCTGTGCTGTGCCTGGAGGGTCACTGTGAGTCAGAATTGACTCAGCCATACAGAACACCTCTAAAGACGTCAGTAGTGAGGAAGTCACTTTTCAAACTTTTCGATGTGTATTTAGAGAACCTTAGACTGCACGTGAGAAATTATCTGCTATAATATCACCACAGACACATTGGAACTCAAGCAAGTTAAATGCTAGGTTCATATTTATTCGAAGAGACCCGCTAGAGTAGGCTCTTGATCTCTGGGCAGCTGGCCCAGAGCCTGTCTCTTTCCGGTACCTCTCCCTTGTTTCCATTTAAGTGTGGAGCATTTGTGATCCTTCATTGTCCAAGGATTATTTTAATGTTGGGAAAAAAATCTGCAGGAGTAGGCATTTCCTACATTCAGAGTGAATACTTTGTTTGAAGTACAAATGCTAAATGACAAGTGTTTTTTATCCACAAATAATGCGATTTCAATCCATTTCTTCTAGAACGTCCGGTTGCTGATAACGAGCGGATGTTTGATGTTCTGCAACGATTCGGGAGCCAGAGGAATGAAGTTCGTTTCTTCCTCCGCCATGAGCGGCCCCCTGGCAGGGACATCGGTATTTAGTATTTTGTGAATCATAACAAATAGCTGAGCCTTGGTGCTGCAGTGCAGTGGGGTGGTTGGGGAGGGCATGCCATCAGGCGGCAGGCATGTGAGGGGCGAGTGAAAAGGGAGGAGGAGGAGGAGAGACTGGACAGACGTGCTTTGTTTTTGTTTGACGGTGGAAGAAGTGGAACGGGTTCTTGTTGTTGTTTCGTTTAATGTGGCTGGTAGGAGTCAGTAGAGTAGGAGGTTGAAAATAGAAGGAAAAAAGGGAATAATTGATAGGGTTGGGGCCCGAGAAAGTGCTCCCACATCAATGATGGAGAGATTGCTCCTTGATAAAAGGAGGGATCCGCCTTCCATTCTAGTGGGGCAGAGAGAAAGTGGCGGCAGATGCCGGTCAAGGTGTGCGTTTTGTGGAGCCAGTTGAGGGGTTTCTCTTCTGAAGGTGATGCTGGGGCCCGGGGGCTGGAAGCTGGAGCTGTTGTGGAGTACACGAGTGGGTGCTGACCAGGGACACCAGTTTCTGGCAGCTTTGAAAGCTAATTGAGATTAGAGGCCATGAGATCGTGTGATTGTTCTGCAGGAGTTCTGGGTTCATGTGGGATTGTAAGTGGAGAAGCAAGCAGTTGGATCGATCCAGACAGATTCAGTGAAAGCCCAGGGGCTGGGAAGGAGGATGCTGGTACGACAGAGCTTGGACCACGAGCTCTAAGCTGGTGGAGAAGATGTGAAGATTGGAAGAGCTGTGGGAAAAGCAGGCATGGCTAAGAGGCTGGAGGTCTCGGGAAACAGGAGTAAGGAGGGGAAATGCCTACTGATTGGCAGCCTGAGAGGGAATGGTGGCAAAAACGTAGACTGTTTGAACCTAAGACTTTGGAGGCCTGGTGCTTCTAGGGCATAGACATTGTCCTGTGACTGGCTGTGCGGCGAGTCCGAGTAGAGGAGAAGGTCACATTTTGACGGGTTTTCCACATGATCAGTAAAATCATTGAGAAGAAAGGTAGCATGTGGAGGTGCAGAGGACAAGGGAGTAAGACAGCCCTATCTTGGGTGCCTGAGGGTCTGACCAGAGGGGCGATAAAGAGGGGTAGACAGAGCCTAAGGGTGAGAAATAGTGAGCTGGAAGCAACACCTGAGAGGAGGACACAACTATCCCATGACTGGAGGTTTTGTAGGGTGCAAACTGCCAGCCTGAGATCTGCCCTCACGGGAAAGCCACAATTATGATGCCAAAAACAACAACAACAAAAGTGAACATTTAAAAATGGAAGCATGAGGGTAACACATGATTTCACAATGCCATTTTGGGGATTAGGAATGTTAGCAAGAATCTCAATTTTGTAACCAAATACTGCGTTAACACAGGTGTTCCTGAAATAGCAGGCAGCTAGCATAATTAAATGTAGAGTGTGCAAGGCTCTGGTCTGGCCTCCTCCGCTCTGCAACTGAGAAAAGCAGATACTTAGGGGTTAAGTGACTTGTCAGAGGCCACACACCTAGAGGCAGAGCCAGGGTTGGAACCTGACGCACCGCACCGCACCAGCGAGGCCGGCTTCCCTGCCTCTCGGTATCACTGGTGTGTACAGTGTTGCTTTCAATGAACCCGTGACATTTGAGTTTCATTTTATTTCTATGTTCTTTCTGGGTAGGTCTGCAAGCATGTTTTTCTGACAAACAAGTTGAACTTATCTACCAGCTCAAGTATCTGTTTGTATGGTCCTGGGTGAATTATTAAATGGCCTCTCAATAGTGCACTGTGCCGTTTCAGTGTGTCTGTAATGTGAGAAATAGAATGGGAAGATAAAGGCGCTGTTTTCACAATGTAGCAAAGCACCAGTGCCACACGGTGTCCACACCCGGTAAAACAACAGTGCCCTTCTTTCTCACATTGTTGCTGACTCACAGTGACCCCCTTATGGGTTTCTGAGACTAACTGTCCAGGAATAGGAAGCCCGGTCTTTTTTCCTGAGGTGGTTTTGACCTGCTGACCATGTGGATCATAGCCTAACGCTTAACCACTGCACCACCAGGGGGTGTTAACATTCTTAGCTTAGACTCCTCTACTAGAAATAATGGAACTGTTAACCACATTCTTCCAATTTAACTCAGACCTGTGACACAGGAAGTATATGTACTTTTTTATTTACTATTATGAGGCAATTGAACATCTGAGGGAGAAGCCAGTTGAATGTTCTCTCTTTGAGGCAGTAAGGAAAGCAATTCTTATTTTTCAGAATTAGGTTTTGTTTTTTCCTCTTGCAGAAATATTGTGGCTGTTTTGCTGGAGTAGTATTTTTAAAATATAGCTTAACACTTGGGGATAGGTCAATAATTGACTCTGAGGAGGGACATAAAGGTATTTGCTTATCGAAATATATATTGCCGCTACAGCAGACATTTGATTCAAAAGAAACTTTTAACCTCACATTTCTTTGGGGGTAATTTAATACTTTTCCTAATTTGGGGGGAGTATCTCCCTGCTATTGAGTCGATTGGACGCATGGCAGCCCCAGGGGACAGGGTGGACTCGCGCGGTGGGATCCCAGACTGTCACGCTGCAGGAGAGCACAGAGCCTCCTCTCTGTCCCGTGGAGCAGCTGTGGGTCAAGCGGCTGGTCTGCGGTTAGCAGCCCAGTGCATAGCCACTGTGCATCAGGGCTCCCTGGCGGAGGCATAGGAAATTTCTGCCGATAGTTTTTGTTTCTTATACTGTCCCCAGAGTACAAATGAGGTTTGTTCCCAAGTCTGTCTTCAGTTCAAATTTGTATGTAAGTCAGCATAGTTATGGATGCCCAGTTAGTCAATTGCTTGTCTTAGAATATAGTGTCCTTCTCTAGGAACAAAAACATTAAACACATTCAGGTATACCGCAGCATCTTTAACATCATAATACCACAGTATTTTTTTGATGCGCTTGCAAAGTAGCATGTGTTATTACAAGCCATTGTCTGTCCTTAAAACACTTTTTAAATTTAATAAGTATCATGTGGCTGGTTCTTCACTGGGTTGTATGTAGGTGTAAGTTGTAAACCAGACTTTCATCACCCGGGAACTGCCTGTAATGTTTTAGTGACAGACTCTTTTCCCTTTATGCTGCATTAACTGGTTCGGAGACCATATATTTTCGCCTAAGAAATCATTTCAGCCAAAAAAGGCAGACAACAATATTTTTGTAATTTGTACCTCCCCAAACTAAGACAATGGAAAATTGCCCGTAAGTAAGTAAGTAAGTAAGTGGGGACGATTTTACTGTATGCACCAATCACCACAAAACCAAGCAGCCCCTGTTGTTTTCTTTTACTCCCTTCTCCTGTAAGCTACAAACTTGGTTGATAAGCCGAAGGATGAGTCGATTTGATTTTTTACCTCTTCCTTTTTAAAAAATGTAATTTGTGATTGAAAACACAGCAGAACAAGTTCGTGCCTGACCACCCCTGCCAACTGTCTGAAAGATAGAGCTGAAGAAAAATGTGCAACAAAACTCAAAATCATAAAAGACACCCGATTCACTGTTGGACTAGATTAGGACTCCCGAGCCCATGGCCTGTAATCACTCTTCAGATCTGGAACAGAACTTAATTTTCAGTAAAACAACAGACAGCCCAGGAAAACAATGGGAACAATAACACTAGGAAAGTACACACACCTTAGAATAATCAACCATTTTGCATCAATAAGACAGCATTTACCCAAGGATGAAAGTTCAGAAGGGCGGGGGTGGGGGTGGGGTGGGGGGTGGGGGTGGAAACGGCAAACACAGAGAGGCAGTGAGACAGGTCGTGATCCGTTATGGGGATTGGAATGAAAAACATAACGTGTACGGGTTCTTGAATGTAACAGTGATGGTCTGCTCTGTAAACTGCCATTGAATTTACAATGAAGAGTTACAATAAAAAGATAGATTGACTCAAAACAGAGCCTACACTAGTCTTTCACCATTAGCATAACAAAACAGCCCCTTCCCAAATAGGCATGTAATTTCAGGAAGCGAGATTAGGATTCACAGTGCACAGTTGGGGCATGGTGGGGAGGGACAGCAAATTATCCAGTGGATGATGACGTCACCAGTCCACAGGACATGGCTTGGTTTATTGCCCTTTATATTGGTTACTTGCTGAACGGTTGGCCTGTAATATTTATTAGTGTTGACTATTTCATATGACAAGAACGTAATTCCCCCACAAATGCTGGATTATGAAACTTTAACTCATTGCTGTTAGAAATATCTTGTTTTAAGTATACTTTCAGCTTTAAGGATCAAACCGCAATTAACATCAGAACTCAGAATGTATATACGATCCGTCAACTGCAGTGATAATGTGTATTTTGAATTTTGTTTTGCTTAGTGAGTGGACCCAGGTCGCAGGATCCAAATTTAAAAAGAAATGGTGTAAAAGTCCCTGGTGAACACCGAAGAAAGGAGAATGGCGTAAGTGATTGTTTTGCCCACGCTGCACTTCTATACACACCTATATACACCCTGCTCTGTTGACCCTGCTTCAGAGCTCATTGGTCTTTATTTTCTTGTTCGGCGGGTTAGGGACGACTTCAGCTTAAAGGCTTGTATTTATTGTATGGAAACACTTCATTTGAGTGATGATTTTAATTCTAGTGATTAACTTTAATAGTCTACATAGTTGACGATTGTGAGAAATTCGGTGGCAAATGTGCCACTAATTCAGAACAAAATAAGTGTTAAACTTGAAGATGCGTTCAGTTTTTCATGTGATTTGTTCAGAAACAGAAAAAACCAAATTAATAGTGATGTTGCTAGCGCTTCAGCAGATAATTCTGGTGTACGTTAGAGATATTTTCTTTTTAGAACTCAAGAGTTTGTAATACTGCTAGCTATATTTAGCAGAATTATCTTCTTTAACCTACAGTCAAAAAGCCAAACTCACTGCTATTGAAGCAAAGCCACCGCCTTGTGCCTTTCTGAGACGGTAACTCTGTATGGGAGTAAATGTCTCATAGTTCTCTGGAGGAATGGCTGGTGGTTTCGAACTGCTTACCTTGCAGTTAGCGGCTGAGCATGTAACCCACTGTACCACCGGGGCTCTTTCTGCAACCAAAAACAAGTTTCTATTAGAGTCCAAATAATCTAAGAAATCATTTGCTTTTACTCATATTTATATGTGTGTTCCTATTCTCTGATCTTATAATTATCTCACAGTGATGAAAGGATGATAGATATGGTCTTAAGTTGTTGTGAGATTTGATTAAATCTTCTCTAACGTGCTCCCCGCCCTCTCCCCCACTGGAGGTTAGTATTTGAAAAAGACAATGCGGGTTTATTGAGGTGTAATTGACATATAACCTGCTCGTATTTAAAGTGTATATCATTTATTAGGTTTTAGCATAAGATTATACAAAGAATCTTCAAAAAGTTTATGAGAATGTATTTAAAAAAATGCATGGACTTCAATTTTCTTTCACTAAAATTAACGTGTACTAACTTGGTACATCACATGTCTGAATAGCAGTAGTGTGAGGCACCAACAGTGGTAAGACATCAGTTTGAAAATAGCCCCAATCCAAGCAACATGAATTCTGCCAAAAATTGAAGGAAGAATAAACAGAATTTGTTGAAAAGATTATTCCTTTTCTGTCTTAATTGCCATACACCTCTGTCTAAAATCAGCTGGCCATATATGGGTGGTCTATGTCTGGACTTGGTTTATATTGATGGCAGTGGTTTTTTAATATCTTGATTGTTAGAACTTTCTAAGTTTTGAAGTCAAGTAAATTTTACTTTTTTGCTTTCCTAAAGTATTTGGTATTCCTATATTAAGTAGAACCAACTTGTGAAGTTTTACAGAAGAACTTGTAGGGGGGTTCCATTAAATATAGATCCATTTGGGAGCAAATGAGCTCTTAATCATATTGAGCTTTTTTGCTCATGAACACAGACAATATCACTCTCAAATTGCTCTCAGTTGTATTTGAGAACACAAAACAATGAAAGAAGCAGTGTTTAGTAGTTTTCAATGTAAAGGTTCTAGACATTTGTAAAATGTATTTTTGAAATTTTCAATTTCTGTTTGTTAATAATAACAATTTCTGATTGTTATTAATATGTAGAAATAGAATTGACTTTTGTATTTGATCTTTTATCCTGCAGTCTTGCTACACTAGCTTTAAAGTTTTGGTAGCTTTTTTAAATTTAAAGTTTTCGTAGCTCGTGGAGTCATAGGATCTACACTGTCTATAAATACAGTTCAAGTCCTTTCTCTCCAATTTAGAGGCCAAGTGTTTCTTTTTCTTGCTGTATCACACTGGCCAGAACCTCTAGGACAGTGTTGAATAGAAGTTGTGAGCGTGCACATCTTTATTTTGTTCTTGATGATCCAACATATCTTGAATTTTCTTGTGCCTTATTATTTTTAATTGTTGTTCTTATGACCATATTCTAAATTTGCTATCAACGCCCCCAAATCCATGCCTAATACAATCAAACACTAAACCTGCTGCGCTGAGTGAACTCTGACCCACATCACCCCTACAGGGCAGAGTAGAGCTGCTCCTTGGGGTTTCCGAGGTGGTGCACTTGTGTGGGAGGAGATGCTAAGCAGCCTAACTCACAAATCACGACACCACTGCGGCTCCTTATGCCAGCAGGCACTGCCACCCTCGGTGCTAACTCAGAACAAGGGAACCCTAAATGGTTCCATGGCTATTCTGGCCGCTGAGATAACGTCACTTAAATGTAAAATCGAAAAGGGTATTTTTCACCATAAGAAAGGGAAATTAAGATGGTTGGGTTGTCTGTTAGTATGTTTTACCTTTAGCTTATTAAGTTAATTACGCCTTTGAATGAGGTGGCTATAATATAACACTATGTGAAGGTGGTTCAGATGGAACTCATGGCTCGGCCCTTCAGAGAGGCGTCTCAGATCACGTTAGAGGAAGGTGTGTCCTTGTTTGCTCGCAGGTGAACAGTCCAAGGACGGATCTGACTCTTGCCGAACTTCAGGAAATGGCATCTCGCCAGCAGCAGCAGATTGAGGCCCAGCAGCAAATGCTGGCTACCAAGGTACTGTCTTGTTTTAAAGACCTACAGCTAGGCCACCTCTGATAATGCAGGTGTAAAGCTGTTGACATTCCACCCGGATTTATAAGCCTGTTGGCTCACAGATAAGAGTTGGTATTGTGAACCCAAAGTCACTTTTATATGACAGTTTCTCTCCCTTGGAATAGCATTTTGTAGAAACGTGTGCGTCCAGAGTGAAAGCCATAAATCATTGCAATTGTTCAGGACCTTCCTGACTTCTGATGTGGATCAAGATTAACCATGTTGTGTTGGAGAGCAGCAAAACAGGAAGGGCATCAAGAGGCCTCTCACTTTAGCATGAAGGCCTGCTCTGGACTGATTGAGCTGAATCATGACTGCAGCAGGAGGGGCGGTAAAGTTGACCAGTGCCAGCGCTGTCCCCTGCTGCCGCCTGGCACAGCGACAAACTGCTTGCCTTTATTTGGGAACACCGTCCACTCACAAGCTAATCTTAGTTTTGTCCCTGAGCAAGATGCCTCCCCATTTTTATCAAAAGCGGCCCACATTTAAACCAGATGTCCAGTTCAAGCCACATGGTGTCCAGGAACCTTCAGAAGCCCCTCGTGCTTCCTAGCAGTCCCATGCCCCCATTCCTATTTATAGGACCAGGCATGAGCAGTTCCAAGTCATGTTGCTTCCCAACTTTCCATGGCGCATGAAGGGGTTGGGGGGGCTTTGTTAAAAAATACTCAGATTCAATAGGTCTGGGATGGGGTCTGCTTTTTTGGGATCTGAGGTTAGGCGCACAAGTAATATTGTGTAGATTGAGAAGCACGGACACATGTCAAATAAAAAGGTCGATGGCTGTATAATACATTATTTCTAACCGTAGGATCCTTGATTTGAAGTGATTTCTGCATTCTTTACATGTTTCAAACATGTCGTACCGAGAAGACCTTTGATGATGAGTAGTTTGTTTCTGTTCATTTGGACAACACATTTTAACATAATAAAATTAATTTGTACAAATGCGCTTTACACAATTGATGTATGTATGGATTGTGATAAGAGTTGTATGAACCCCTAATAAAATGATTTTTAAAAAAAAGAACAATGAAAAAAAATTAACTTTTAGGTTGAACAATCATAGTTTTTGAAAGGTGTTAAGGTATTTCTTAAGCAGGTTCACTTCAGTTGCTATGCATTGAGAGTATTTCTTTTTTTTTTAATCGTTTTATTAGGGGCTCATACAACTCTTATCACAATCCATACATACATCAATTGTGTAAAGCACATTTGTACATTCATTGCCCT